ACTATATCGGGATGCCGGGAGCCACAGCCACTCAGTCTTGGAAGGGTTGAGCTTGAGCTTGAGCCTGTTCCTCCCCATCCAGATCCGCACAGCCTCCAGACACTGGGACATCACTTCAAGGGCATTGTTGGGGTGGCCTGGCCATTTTTGCCTCAAGTGAGAACACTAGTTGATTTATTTAATGATCCATTGATTTGTTTTCTTCATTTCCATGGCTTACAGTTATTGCCAGCAGTATAAAGGGCACTGTAGAGGGTGGAAATAATGACATCATGTATGACATGTGGCATTGCTGGTATCTTACTATAACATTTATTTTATAGATATATAAAATATATCATAATATTTACAATACCAATGTCAAAGTAGTCCAGTGCTAATAAGAAGATTGAAATCAAAGTAGAAATAATACAATAAAAAATTGTCAGCCACCTAGAGTCATATTTATGAGATGAACACCCATATAAATTTATTAAATATATAAAAAAGAAATATCTGTAATAGCCATCCAGAATAAAATTTTGGCAAAGCATTGACTGATATGTATTGGGATTGTGCCATTTAGCTTCATATAGGTTCAATTTTAGGTAAGCTGTTCTGTATGTAGCATTTGTCTCAAGCATTTCTAAGACAGATGTTACCTCTCTACTGTGCAATTTTATTTATCAAATTTATTTGCCACCCATTTCATGGTTTAAGGCAACTCTGCATGATGAATGCCAAGAGACAGTATTGAAGCCAAATCGACTATTCCACCATGAACAGTTATTCCACTAATTCTGGGGTCATAAACATTCCCTTTCTGTTTATTTGTTTTAATCTTGATATTGCATATGTGCAAATATAATTAAATGTACAATTAATTACTATGTTTTGTAGGTATGTCAATAGGAAATGAGCAGAAGTAGAATTAGTTATACAAATTATCTGCCATTGTAATGGGATTTTAGTAGTTTTGCTAATGACATGAATAATCCATAGAGATGCCAAGGGTCAGACATGACAGAATGGTTGATGACAATGAGGCTAATGATAAGAATGCAGTCTAGCTAATGATATGAATGAAAAAATAAGATAAAGGTACCACCTGCGAACATATTGTGCAATACCTGTTTACTAGCTCAGACTGTGGGATAAATGTTTGGAAGAATTGATTATAAATCACTGGGCACACAAGTACACATAGGATATAGAAAAAAAGATTGAAGCCAGTTGCTGGTTCTAAAATAAGACAAAGAAAGTTGATTCAAAACTTTTTTTTCTTACAAGGTTCTGGAAAAAAATCCTAACAGACCAATGAGCCATAAAGAGATTCTTCAGGTTATCCAAAAAGAAGGGTTAAAAGAGATTAGGTGAGTATGAATTATTATACTGCTTGCTACTCCTAATAACATAAACAGAAATATTTTCCAACTGTAGATTTTGTAAGTATTGCAGGTACAAATAATTGACCAGCATATGCATTTGTCTGATGTTCATTTTGTGTTGCCAAATTTTTTTTCAGATGTTTTGTTTCTAGATTGAAGTTCATTTTTTTGTATTTATGAAAACACTGAATAGGGAACTAATGCTATTTGGTAACGGACAAAAAGGAGTTTTGTTCATTAACTGGAGAGCAACTTCCTGGTTGAAGTAGTGTCATCTTGATGTCATGTGCCTTAAAATTTTTACTTTTCAGAGCTGCTTGGGGGTTGAGACTAAGTTATCAATCAGTAAATCATTAGTTATTTCACTAAGCTTAGGAACTGGACTAAGTTAAACTTTTTTGGGAATCACTGTTATGCTATCTATTGCATGTTTGTTCCAATTTCCTCTGAGAACTCAAAGCAACTTTTAGAAAGATCTCCCTTAATTTTATCCTAACAACAGTTTTGTGAGGTTGGTTAGGCTGAGAGAAGGTAACAGTTTTAAAATTAACTCCATAATTTGGATGAACTCTGGCATTTTAAATACCATATTCAAATATCTGACATTTATCTAGATTGCTGTTGACTACTATGATTCTAGAAAATGTTTAATGATTTAGACCGGGGTGTCAAACTCAAGGCCCGCTGGATCCGGTCCACGGGGCCATCCTGGTCTACCCAATCCGAAGAGGAAAGATCAGGCCAATGTAGCTTTGGCCTGGTCTACCCAATGTGAAAAGAAAACATGCCAGGAATTTGGGGAGTGGCATCAAGCTGGCCACGTCCACTCAGTTGGCCACACCCACCCACTCGACCACACGCGCCCGGCCCCCCAAGGTCAACCACACCCCTGATGTAGCCCTTAATGAAATGATGTTTGACATCCCTGATTTAGACAGTTGAAGTGTTTTCTAATTTTACTTTTACAGTATTTTCTTTCCAAGTTGAATGACAGGGATTGGATGAGGCCTTTCATGAACAAAGGTGCACAATCATCTTATCTGTAAGAGTGTAATAATGACCTGCCTTACAGTTCAGTTTAAAGAATTATTAGAACAAGCATATGAAATACTTTGAATGTTTTAATATGTTTTATAAAAATGTAAAATGCTTGTTGTTAACTAACCTATCTGCTTAATGGGAAGCATTTCCTAGTGGGAATAAGTATGCAATTAAAAAAATATTGGACTTTGTATGCCTGCTGTGAAGTTGCCGTGTGCATGCACTGTTTTTACTGGAAAGCAAACATGGATTGCATGCTTTGTAATCAAAATGGCTTTTATAGTATTAAAAAAAGTTGCATAGAAAATTGAAATGTACTCCATTGAGATTATGGCAATTTCTATATTTAAACATTTGTTTTGTTTTTAAAAAAGCTTTGTAGTTTGCACTTTTCCTCAGTTTTACTAAATAGGGTACACTTTTGGGACTTGAATACGATAAAGAAATTCTTAGCAATGTAGGGATCATGTTTGTAAAATTAACTTTTACTTACAACTTTTTCTTCTATTAATTACTACAAGTATTATTTTTGAAGGTAAAGAAATTATCAATATAGTAAATATGACTTGCTTAGAAAATAAAAATTAAGGCGCTAAAAATTAGAGGAGGTAAAACCACTCATTGAAAATGGTTAATGCTATATTTTTTGAGTGTTTAGCTTGGTTAGTTTGCCTCTGATGAAGGATTTACTGCTAAGGATTTCTATGTGGCTTGTTCCATTTAAAAGTCATACAGTAATGATTTAATTTAGTTAATGTTTTTGTAGATTGAAGAAACATTTTTAATTTGAGATGGGATGAGGAAGGTCACAGGATGTGGGATAGGTATAATAGCACTTAGACTTGTATACCACTTCATAGTGTTTTTACAGACCTCTCTAAGCAGTTTACAGAGTCAGCATATTGCCCCCAACAATCTGGGTCCTCATTTTACCCACCTCGGAAGGATGGAAGGCTGAGTCAACCTTGAGCCTGGTGAGATTTGAACTGCTGAACTGCAGCTACCAGTCAGCTGAAGTAGCCTGCAGTACTGCACTCTAACCACTGCGCCACCTCAGCTTCTCAGAGATAATACTATCTCCAGAGGGGACAAGACTAAGATTTTCAGCCCAATGTTAAAAGCAAAAAATACTTTTAAATTTGTGGCAAGCTCTAGTGACTATGTATGACCCTGGGAACTTCCAGAACGAGAGGGCTTGATATTGTTTATTTCTTGCTTACACGGACAAATCTCACTTAAAATATTGTTTCCTTTACCTACAAGAGTTTGAGAGGGGCTTTTTTTTTCCTTTTTGTTTTCTTTGTTTGCTCTCTGTTTTCTGATATTCTGCCACTGACTGGAGATGTTGCATTTTCCAGAGATTTGCCTTTTAAAATTGCCTAATTTTGATGATTATTCTTGCTTTACTGGGTCAAGAGATGGAATTGAGGTTAAAAATGTATTATTTAGTTTGGTTAATTATTAATTGAACTAGGCCAACTCAGATGTTTCTATTTGAAATCCAAAAGAATAAATACAGAACTTTTTAAGAAATTAGAAAAAGTAATAAGAACATCATATTACAGTACCTTTCAGAATTTAATTGAACGAATCTTTAAAATATAAAATTATTCCCTTTCTTCAATACTTCAATTAAAAATAGGGTAGTCAGACATGATTTCCTTTTAAAGGAGGTTTATTGAAAAATTCTTACATGAACATTTTGTAGCTTAAGCTTCAGAATTGAAGTTGTCAGAAAAATAGTGCAAGGATGTATCCAATGACACATCATGCTATATTTCTCCACAATTAGCTTGATATGGTGACTTCCTGGCTCTGGTTCCAGTCTGGATCAGATGCTAGAATGAATGAAATTGTGTTCAGTAGTCAGATGCTTGCTCGTGATAACTTTTCTGCTTTATAAGTCTCTTGGTCATAGATCTTTCAAGCAATTTGTTTCTAACAAGCGTGATTTCTGTGTAACAATATGGGCCTTTTTTTTCTAGCCACAGTAATAAATAAATTGAAATAAAACAATTTCCACCAGAAATTAGGTTCAGTAAAGGGTCATGGAGTATTTTAAGCATATTTATTTTTATTAAGTCATGAAACCAACCCACAAGAGATGTTCTTAATTACATTGGGAGGAATATGTTTGTAAAATGAATGTGGAACATGTAATTCTCAGATGACATCTATAATAATGGAGCAGTTTCAGCAATATTCTTTGCTCCTACTTAGAGGTGGCATTGATTCTGCAGCCTTTTCTTGTATGTTACTGTTTTTTTTACCTTCAGTGTAATTTGGACTTGAACGCCAAAGTAGTATCTTTTATTTATACTACCAAGACTCCCCCTTGAGACTTGCAAAGCCTGCTTGAGGAATTTGTCCCATTCTTGTCCCCTTTGTTCTCTATAATCTAAGGAAAATGTCTGGTATGAGTTGTGTGGGTGGTCATTGCAAATATATGAAAATATTGTTTTACTGACATACTTAAATTTTTATCTTGTTTTTTTCCCCCTTTACCCATTCTCATTGTCTCTTTCAATTTGTTTTTGGGTTTCTTGGATTTTCATCTTTTCCAGAAGGTAAGAGCCACAATTAATGAATAAATTCCTTTGCACATAAGTAATGCTACATTTATTTAGCTTGCTTTGCATAGAAGTTTAGCAATAATTTCATTACTGTTAGGTTGAAGAATCATTTCTCTGTGTACCTAAAGCTTGTTTGTGGGAGGCCATGGCTAGCCAGATGAGGTGGGAAGGGCTGACATTTGCCAGTCGAGTCTTTGTTTTCTTTGATCTTGAATGAAAGAAGCTTAGCATTGGGCTCTTCTACTTGGATGATTTCATCTCTGATTGACTTGGCAGGGTTTTCTGAACCATCTTGTTGTTCACTCTAGGATCTTCTGAATGTTGAATTAAAATAAAGCAGAACTGGGGATCCTTTTTTGGCCCAAAGGCGGCAATCATTTAAACCCCTCCAGGGTCATGCCAGGGAGCCGTACGGAGTAAGACCATTCTCTTCCTTCTTATGCTTCCTTTCTCCCATAGCTTTTCACATAAACTGTTCCCTTCAGAGTCCCATTTCCCCCCTTTTCCCCTACAGAGCCCTTTTATAGCAATTTAAACTTTTTAGATGCCTGAACTGCTATAGGAAAGGAAGGAATTATTTTTCTAGAGTGATTCCATAGCATGAGGCATGGAGGTTTAATCTGACCTCCATTTTATCCTTGTGCAGCAGTTAACACATTTGAACTATTCTTCATTGGCATCACTAAAAGCTTTTAATTTAAAACATTTAATTGCTATATAGAGGGAGGAGCCAGATGAGATGACAAGGGAAGTCCAGAGATATACCTCTGCTCTGGCTAGTGGTTTCCTATTCAGACTACTGGCATATCTACAGTGTGACTTTTAGCTACAACACACTTCTAAAAAAAATAAGCTGTACCCCTGAGAAAGGTTGTGATTTCCACACAATGAGTTAATGAACTTACTTATGCAACCATTATAAAAACCATTATTGGTTTTGCAACTCACCTATGAAGAGAAGTCACACTGAAACCACTATCAGAAGCAGGTGCATTTCCTGAATCCATTTATATAAGCTGTGTGCATTTATTTACTGGTAATTCACTCTTTGCACAGTTTTTTGGCACAATCTTTCTGTATTCTAGTTTTAGAGTAGGCCTATGGGCTGCCTATGGCTTTTGGGGACTTGGGACCCCTTTTTAACTAGAATCCCAGAAAATTGGTGGTATGATTTTGTACTTTTTGAAACAAGAAGTACATGAAAAATATTGTTTGAATCTTCAAATGCTTTCAAACGAGAGAGAGAATGAAACACAGCTCAACACTCCAAAATCCAAGGGGAAAAATCAGTGCTATATCCATATTATGTACCATCACCTTCTCTTCAGCTCTTAGGTTCTTTCTAGATGTGAAACACGGTCTTATTTGACTAAATGTTGCCTACTGTACATAAGCAATGGAAATGAACTTGATCTCTCATTGGTATTACAGGCCAAAGTAAATTAAGTTAATTGTTTTATGGGAGTAAATATTAGCCAGTGTTTTTCTTATGACTTAGGTTTCAGTCAAGTCTTGTGTTTAATTTAAACCCGCACTTTTTGACATATTGTGGTTACAGTTTGTACATCTAGATTTCATGTTTGTCAAGCTTATTGCATTGTTCATAAATGAAAGTGATAGGTTTATGAATGTATTAGTTGCTTTTTACTGGGTGTTGAACTGTAAACAAGCACACATTGGAAGCAACATGGAAGAGTAAAAAGACTGAACATATTAGCCCACTTTGTTCTGTAATGCTGCTTCTCAGCTTTATTATGGATCCACAACACACACTGGAATTTGCAGTTGAATTAAAAGCAACTCTTATTTTTGGAAACATTGTGAAATTGATGTATTTTATTCTCAATCCAGCATATTTTAATGTTTTTAATCCCAGTATGTCTGAAGCAATGAAAACTCTTGAGCTATTCTCAGAAATGTTGAAACTTTTTTTCTTAACATTTTGGTTGTCGGGGCTACTGAAAGTTCTAATATCTGTGCTGCATTTTTTAACATATTGCCTGGCATTTATGTTTGGGAATGTGGCAGACTATGCATGAAATGACTGAAGAAATTTATTTCCTTTCTGGAAATTCTCTGAATAGCAAGAGCAGTTTTCTCTTTTATAATTAACGTGTGTATGAACATTTTTGTGTTATATTTTGCAGTATATGCTTGCTTATAGAGAATTTACCTGTTAAATTATATGGTGCATTGTCCCTAAAATTTCCCTTAAGTGCCATGGACTGTAGCATCTGTGCCAACCCTTATTTCATTTTTTAAAAATGGTAATTTACAAATACTGAAGAATTGTTTAGAAGTTAGTCGGACTTGAGCTGCACTAAAAATTAATAAAGTTGGGCAAGGCGTTTCTTGGATAATTTCTTTTACCCTCCTTTAATGCGTAGTTCCAGCAAATACAAAGTATGATAGTTGCGCTTTGTATCACTGGTGGCTAATTCTGCATTTCTATTTCCAGTGGAACTTCTCCACTTGCATGCCTGAATGCTATGCTGCACACCAACTCCCGTGGAGATGAAGGAATATTCTATAAGGTTCCTGGAAGAATGGGGGTCTATACACTGAAAGTAAGTGAGTGCACCATCTTTTAACGTTAAATTATATTTCAAACTACAAACTGTCAGTTTTTAACAATTTATGATGCAGATGGTTTAAACAAATATTCCCAATTGGGCATAATTGAAATGGTTTTTGAAATGGTGAGTAGTGACAATATGTGGAATATGGGTTTGGCAATGTTCTTGCATTGACCCTTATGACTGATTAGATCACAAACCAATAGTTACCTATTAATTGAAAGTCTTAATTAACTTAACAGGAAGTTCATTGAATCAAATCCATACAACCCATAATTAGGCATTCGAGAAGCTGTTATAAATAAAAGAAACCTTCTATTGAAGTACATCATTGATTAATTTAGTTCAATATTATTAACACTGGCAATAGTTCTCCAGGCTTTCAGACATGGGTCTACATTCTTGACTGAATCTAGAACTTCCGCATATTCTGTCACTAAGCTAGGGTTTTTCTTTTCTGAGAATAGACTTTCCAATAGGTTGAGAATGTAGTATAGAATGTATTGATGAAGATAAAATGTATTATCATGAAGATCGTTTTCCAAGAATTATATTTTTACAAACTAAAGAAACTAAGTGAAGAAAATAGATGGAATGTTAACTATGATCATACTAACAATTTGAGGTGTTTTGAGGTACACAAAAGAACAGATGTAGTCTCCATTCCTTGGAACTTTGGGAGACATCTTTTGGGAATATTGAGAGATGTGGATAGTCCTTTTTCGGAATGGCTGATATGAGATCCACTTTTCCTCTGAAGCTCTCAAGCTAACCTGTATCCATCCATATTTTTAAAAAATGGAAATTCCTCTTGAGTATAATGCCTTGTGAATTCAGAGACACATTTATTTAATTCTCTTGGGAGCTATATCATATTGGTTTGCTACTGCCTTCTTCCTCAATTTATTTATTTAGTTAAATTTTCCAGTCCAGTTTATAGTTCTGGAATTTTCTGGAAGTCTCCCATTCAAGTACTAATCAGATCCAAATGTGCTTAGTTTTCCCAGATCAACCAAAGTTAAATAGATGCCGCCACCTAAATCGTCCCATCCATATTAGTTATCTGCAGATAATGTCTGTATCATCTTTTATAATTGCCTTTAATTTTAATGGAGCTTACATGCATGTTCCTAGAAGATCATGTCCCTTCATTTTTGAACTAGTGGCATCAGTTTGTTTTGGAATTTAATTCTCTTTTATGTTAAACTGAAATATGAAACTACACATTACACATTAGATTCTTCTGTCTGTGGGTTTGTATAATTCTTTCTTTGTTACTCATTTGCAGAAAGATGTTCCTGATGGGCTGAAGGACTTGTCTGAAGGCTCAGAAGAAAGCAGTGATATACAATCAGATTCCCCCACCTCAGAGAGCAGCAGTAGCACTAGCAGTGACCAGAGTAGCAACAAGGAAGGAAGAAAATGCAGGTGGCAAAGGAAAGGTAGATATTCCTTAAAAAATATCTTCTTCCACCTCATCTCCATAACAAAGTATGCCCTTCCCCTCTATTGGTTTTTATTGCAAAATCAATCAAGATGTTTTATTAACTGCAGTTGTTCATGAATTTTGTAGCTGGTTATGCAGCAGATTAAAGCCTAGTAGCTGAAACTGTAGATGGACATTGAAGCTTTTATGGATTGTCCTAGTATTGCTCTAGACCCCTATTTCTTAAACTTTTTCTCCCTTGAACCACTTCCCACTTTTTAAAATTATGGGAGGCCTCAAAACAACTTCATTTGCATGGGTCATATTTATTTAAAATTAGAATAGATGCATTTGCTGCCAAAACTGCTTCTTACAATTATTTGATGGGACTTTAATACAATATTGTATTATTTTTTGTAAACATAGGCAGGCAATTTTGACTTTTTAAACCTCTGGGAGGGACTTGCGGGAACACCAAGGATCCTAGGACCAGTTCTTCAGAAACATTACTCTAGACCAGGGGCATCAAATTCAGTTTCATTTGAGGGATGCATCAGGATTGTGTTTGGTGTTGGGGGGCCAGGGTGGGCGTGGCTAGCTCAAAAGTCACTTGTGTCTGGGGTGTCTATGGTGGCCCGAGTGCTCTGCCAGTGAAAACAGGCTCTCGAGCTCTGTTTTCGGCTGCGATCGCTTCCTGCAACCCTCTGCCAGCAAAAACGGAGCTTGGGAGGGCTACCCTCCCAAGCTCTGTTTTCACTGGCAGAGACACCGCGGGGTGATCCTTTGCTGTTTCCAGGGCAGCCCCACGGGCCAGATCTAAGCACCCTGCGGGCCGGATCCAGCCCCCAGGCCTTGAGTTTGACACTCCTGCTCTAGTCTGAGCTTTGTAACTTTCCCTGGTCTGCTTCTTCTCTAAAATGCCAAAAGCTTATAAGCTTTGAAAGCAGCTTTTAGCAGGTGGGAATGATACACATAGTCCTCAACTTGCTGTGGCAATTGAGACGAGAATTTTCATCTCTTAACTAATATGGTTGTAAAGTACACTTATATTGTTTAGCAACATCAGTCCCTGCAGTCCTGGTGGCCATTATTAATTGAATCCCACAGTCATTAGTTGAAGCAACTACCACCTGGCTTCTCACAACCGAAGTCAGCAGAGAAGTCAGCAGGAATTTGCAAGTCCCATAGTGGCAGGCATTTTGTTGTTACCAGATGGAGAAGGGAGTGAGGGTTGCAGGGGAGTGTCAGAGAGGGTCATAAGGAGGGAGGGTCAGCATGAGTGTGAGGTTGTATGGCATCCAGTGTCACTTGGTTGAGTTGAATGGCTATAGAAATTGAATGAATGAATGAATGAATGAATGAATGAATGAATGAATGAATGAATGGGAGAAGTAGCATACAAATTGGAGAGGCTGTACAAGGGTGCAAGGAGATGTGTGCAAGGCCTGAGGTTCAGGAGGGATACATGTGGTTATGAGGGGATGTGCGAGAGGTTAGCACAGGTTAGAAAAGGTGGGAGGGGATGCATCAAAGTCAGGGATGTGTGTGTGAGAGATGTGGCATGGGTGCATGTGTATGAGAGGTTGTGCAAGAGGCACAAATCGGTGAAGGTGCACAGGTGAACAAAAGGCACAAATTAGGGAAGGTGTGCAAAGCTGTCTGGGTGCATCAGAGATACAGGGCTGGTAACCTAAAAGCAATAGGTTAGGGAGGGTACATGAGTGTGTGTGAGTAGCCACAGATGGGGAGACTTACCCCACTGACTTTTGACTTCCTGTAATGACCTTGAGGGATGAGGAGAAGAGATGCTCCTAGAAAATACTTGACGAGAGGGAGAAACCCCCAGTGGTTTAATTGTCAGAAGAAGAAATGTAGCAAAGACCCGCCCTAATTAATCAGGTTAAAAGTGGCAGTGGGAAATTTGAACCTGTAGACTTGCAAGATTCTCTTAATGAAGCCTTACAATAAAGTAGAAGTAGCTCATCTAATCATGTTTCCTGTCTGGTTTACTTGGGAGGGCTGACATCAGTTTTGCAAATCTCAAGGGTGCAAACCACTACATAGATTTTCTTCTATTTGAAAATATGAGTTTACTAGAAAAGACATTGTAAAGGCTGTATGTAGACCAGACCTATAAAAATTAAATGCAGTAGTTTGGGGACTGGAGGCTAAGTATAACATCTTTTGCAGTAGCAAGGCAAAGCAAAGAGGTCTGTGTCATTCATTTGCCTTGGCTGTTTCCTAGATGGGAAGGGATTTGATTTTGATTTTTAAAAAATCTATTTTGGAACTTATATTACTCTTTGTGTATTTTTGCTCCAAAATAATAGGAAACTAAAACATCAATTTTTAGCAGTTATGATCAGAAGTGGCTGTAGTTGTTATTCCCACCCAATGATCTCAGAGTAGGAACAACTGTAATGAGGTTTGTTTGTTTATTTAACAAATTTACAGTACCCATATTTTTCGGACTATAAGACGCACCAGTGTATAAGATGCACCAAGATTTGGAAGAGGTAAGCAAGTAAAAAAAAGTTTTTGCCCTCCCCGGCCCCCAGGAGCACTCTGCAGGCCTCCCAAAGCCTCTGCGTGCCCTGTTTTTCGCCCATTTTTTGCAAAAACGGAGGCGTTTTTGCCTTCCCCAGCCCACAGGAGCACTCTGCAGGTCTCCCAAAGCCTCTATGTGCCATGTTTTTGCGAAAAATGTGCCTGTTTTTCGCAAAAACGGGACATGTGGGGCAGGGCTTTGAGAGGCCAAAAATGGCTGTATTCGGTGTATAAGATGCACCAACATTTCCACCCTCTTTTATGGGGGGGAAAAGTGTGTCTTATACTCCAAAAAGTATGGTACATAGCCTCCTATCTCACATAACAGGACATTGGACAGATACAGAGTTGGTCCAGATCTCAATGCATATTAGACCTTTCTAGAATAAACCCCTCTCCTGCTGACACAACAGAATGTCACTTTCTAGCACTTTTTTTTTTTAATTTAACCTGCCTTTCAGGCAATATCAACAAACTAGATTGTCTCTTTTGTCAGAACGATAATAAGCAAAGTGAGAATTAGTGGTGGACTGTATATCAAGAATACTGTATATTGTACATTGTACTCTGTGGCATGTATGGCTCTAATGTGTTTTTACAGGCAGCCCTCAACTTACAACCACCAATGAGACTGGAATTTCTGTCCTGTCGTAAATAATTGTAGTTGTATGTCAAGTCATATCCAATTTTACGATAATTTGTATTGCAAATGTTAAAGCAAATTATCATGTTTCTGAAGTGAATTGTGGTTTTTAAGCAAATCTTGTCATTAAGCAAATCCAGCTTCCCCCAGTGGGCTTCCCCAACCATGGCAAGAAAGGTAGCATATTGCAATCTTGTGACCGCAAGATATTGCAACCAGTCGTGAATGCAAACTGGTTGTCAAATGCCCCTGTTGTGATCATGTGACCCTGAGGGTGATGCAATTATCATAAGTGTGAGTACAGATTGTGTCACTTCTTCCATTGTAACTTTGAACAAACAAATCAAGGACTACCTGTATATCCTACAGATATATGCAGCACTACATACAAAGAACAGCTTCAAAGGAACTATTTGGTCCCACAGTGGGTTCGGAATGCCAGTAGCTTTGCAACAGCTTCGTCTCTTGTATGTATCTCTAAGCTGAGAAGTTAATCGCAAAAACTAGAGGAAGGTTGCAATACAAGATAAATAATTATTGTCCAACTTAGTGACAAAACTTTAATACATATTCTCAATGCTCCTCCATCAAGATGCTCTCAAAAAAAGGAGAAATATACAGTAACATTCTGGGATGGAATATGTAGCTGGAGAAGCAGTGGGGGAGAGTTTTGGCAGAACTTTCTCAGAGAGAGGCCTAGATTAAGAGACTATGCAGTTGCAAGATGGATGGGGGAAAGGTTCAGGATAGCCACATCCTACCTAGAATCTCTCAAGATCTATCTAGTAGGTTAGAAAGTTATAGTTTAATTTGGTAAAATGCTGTCCATTAGGTGTAAGCAAATAAAGGATTGGTCTCAATTGGTTTTTGTTGTATCATCTCCAGACTTGTATACATTTGTACTTGTATATTTAACTGTTACGTTCTGTTCATCAACTATTCAGTCACTCATATTGTTCATACACTGGGTTAAGAGCTGTCTTTAAGAAAAAACAGTGCTGCTCAAAATTCTTCATCCAATCTTGTGCCACCTTTGGTAAAAACAGTGGGAAAAAAGCAGTTTTTCCTGCTTTGGTCCTCCAGTGCTACTGTACTTCAGCATTAATTTGCAATCCAGACTAATTGTTCTTTTTTGAACTGATTTTTAAAAAAACCTCGTTGAAGACTAAAGTTAATTTGCCTTAAACCACACCTTCTTTCTCTCGCTTAGTACAATAATAGACAATATTTACTCCTCTAAGTGTTGCTGAATTTTAGCTCCTCTGAGTTGTAACCACCTGGCCAATGGTGAGACAAAAGCATTGAAGTTCTAAAAAATTGTGCAAAAGGCATTTTGTTATGTAGAGAAGCTTGGTTTTGCAGAATGCATTAAATCAAGTTACTGAAAGAGTCTGTCTTGTTTCATTAACTTTTGCACATAAAATAATTATATAAAGAACCTATTGAGCAAATTTCTTTCATTTATACTGCTACACTGGAGTATTTTAAACACCGTGGTTTCATCTCAGTCCTATTCTGATATTTTAACTGAAGATTGTTGAAAGTTCAAAGGGGATGTAATTAATACAAGAAGAAGTGTCAGCAAAGTATATGACTTTCAAGTTAGCATGTGGCTCTGGAGAGGATTGCTTTATTGAGTCTTGCTTCAGCTACAGAACTGTAGCTAACTGCTAACTGTTTTGAGGCTTGGTAATAAAATTAATGTGCCAAGTGCTCTTTTATTAGAATGGGATCTCTTCCAACATGTGTCAAAAAGGTCTCAAAATTATTTATTTTCTCAATAAGAGCATACTTGATAGTTTGTCTTCCCTGACCCAAAGAGCTTG